ATTGTAATTTGTAAGTAATTGTAATTTGTAAGTAATTTTTGTGTGTGTTTGTGCTTTTCTTCACTCAGAGGGAAGGAGAGGCAGGGAGGGCAGCCCGCCAGCTTTATTTCTCTGTGTCGGGGAAGCCCGGCCGCAGAGGCGGGTCTTTTACCTACGTCTGCTGGCGGGCTGGCACTTTCTTTCTTGAAAGCAGCTTTTGGCTGCTCCGGCGCTTTTGCCCGCTGTCAAGAAAGAGGCTTTTGGCCGCGCCGGCGCTATGTTCAACATAGAGGCGGGTCGGACATAGCGCCAGCGCAGCCAAAAGCCTCTTTCTTGAAAGCGGCTTTTGCCCCCTGTCAAGAAAGCTGCTTTTGGCCGTTCTGGCGCTATGTCCGACATAGAGGCGGGACATAGTGCTGGAGCGGCCAAAAGCTGCTTTCTTGACAGCGGGCAAAGGCCACTTTCTTTCTTTTTGCCTCACCAGCCATAAACCTCACCGCACGTCACTGCTAAGATAAAAAAATAATTGCTTATTTTCTTTTTTAAAGTCATTTTTGCACAAAATACTTTTCTGTATTGTTGGGGCAAGTTATTATCTCCAAGGAGTATATTTATGTGATAATTATTTCAGTACAATCCACATGGGCTAGATATTCTATCCTCTTGTAGAATTTCATTTATACTTTTCAGTTTGCTGCAAAGTATGAAAAGAATATTAAGTAGAAATAACTATTTTTGTAATAGAATGCAGAATGCAGGTTCTGTTGATATTTAATTTAAAATACATATAACTAGAGCAATCAAAATTTCTTTTTCAGAGCTGTAATTGGAGAAATAGATGAAGAAACAGATTCAGCCCTTGACTTGGGAAATATTCGAGCAGAACCTTTGAACTCAGTTGTACATTGAAAGACAAAAGAATAAGGACTGCTTTACATAATTATTTATACAATGGCATGACTCCTTTTTAAAATTTGCATAATTTGGATCATTTATACTTATTTTTTACTGTTACAGCTTTATGTAAATTAAAGTATACATTTTACTACTGACTCATGTATTTAGAATGCCAACATGGCAATCGGAAAAAGCAACTTTAAAAACCAGAGTATTATATCTTAGAACATAAGGAAATGAAAATTCTAAACTGCTAACACAAAAGGAATATTTTGCTGGGAACAACATTCAGAAAAACCATGATTTTAAAATTTTATTAAATAAATCACATTAAATACAAGTGTACTATAATAAAAATATTTTTAATTTCTTAAAAAATGACTTGGCGGTTTGTGCCATTGTAATTTATTATGTCATTTTAAACAATTGAATGTATTCATGTTAGGATGATTTGCAACATTATGAATGAAATTTCCCTTTCCATCCCAAACCTACACTTTCAGTGTACACAAGATCCTTCTAATCTTCCATCTAAGCTGCGATTATGAGACAGAATTCCACTACCGGCTATCATTCTTCTAATACAGCAATGGCGAACCTTTTTTGGCTTGCGTGCCATAAGTGAGGGGGTCGTATACAGGTGTGCCTCACCCATAATGCAATGTGCGACACCACCTCCCAGTACGCATGCATGCACTACAGGCGATCTCCCCCATCTTTTGCATGCTTTTTTCGCCCTCCCCAGGCTCCAGAGGCTTTATAGGAGCCTGGGGAGGGCGAAAACAGCCTGCCCCCACCCCCTGGAAGCCATCCGGAGGCTTCAGAGACCTTCAGGAGGCTTCCCTGAAGCCTTCAGAGCAGTCAAAACAACCCTCTGAGCAAACCGGAATCCGTTCCTGAACTTTTGGTTTGCCCGTAGGGCCATTTTTCTGTGCTCCGAGGCTTCAGGGAAGCTCCTGAAGCCTCTGGAGGGCCTTGGGGTGAGGGGGGAGAGGCTCTTTTCGTCCTCCCCAGGCTCCTATAAAGCCTCTGGAGCCTGGGGAGGGCTTTAAAAAAGGGTGAACTCAGCGAGCCAGTGCGGGCATGTGCGCTGGCCAGCATACATCTGTGGCACGCGTGCCATAGGTTCGCCATCACTGTTCTAATGAATGGAGCTGCTAAAAGTTGTGATACATCTTGGGGTGTGTGTAAACTTCCTATGTGCTAATGTTCAAATTAAAAGAATTTCCAGAAATTGTAAACTTAGGACACACTATCACTAGAGTATATGCTATATCAATGGCACCTGATACCTTACAGCACCAGGGCACCACCTTTAAAAAATAAACAATAGCCTGAACCATTAGTTCAAGATACAGAAAATGCTTGAAATTTTGTTATAATCAAATCATCAGTGCATTTTTAGCACTACTTAAAAATACAGATCAGATTTCTCTTGGCACTACTGCTGTAATGGCATATCAGTATAGGATGCCTAATGCTGAACCTATGTAAAAGTGATGAACAGAAGTAGAAATGCCATGTATATGGAATGCATTTGANGCTCACAGCGTGCCGTTTTCGTTGCGCTGTGATGACGTCACGTACGCGCTTTCGTCGAGCGCGCTTTAGTCTACCACGGATTTGTGGTGGAACCGTGGGGGGGGGGGATCCACCACTGGGGGTTTTAAAGAAGAGGCTGAACTGTCTGAAATGGTAGAGAGCCTCCTGGCTCAAGTAAAGGGGTGGACTAGAAGACCTCCAAGGTCCCTCCAACTCTGTTGTTCTGTATTTTGTGTCCCTTCGTGGTGCCCCTCCAAGAAGGGAAAAGGCAAGGGGCTGCTGGGAAGCTACAGGAATGAGGAAGGGGCTGCGAACTCTTCTAATTGGGGGGAGGGAGGGAGGAGACCAGCAGGTGAGTGAAAGGAAGCTGAGGGGAGGAGACCCCAGAAAAGAGAAGGATGGGTTGTCACCATCCCCAGGTAGCTTCGCTGAAGCACCTGCCCAGACCCTGAGAACTCACCTGTCAGCTCTGAGGTCCTCCCTGGGGTGGATGGGCCAGAAGTCCCACCAGACACGTCCCGGTGCTCTTCAAGGGGCAGAGGAGGAAGAGGAGGCTGTGGGGCCGGCCTTGGCAGGGGCCGAGGAAGGACTCAAGCAGGATCCGTGCACCGGAGAAGGAGAAGAGCTGGTGGCAGAGACCAGCACCACCCACTCTGCTCGGAGCGAAGTAGAAACGAAAGTTGGCCAGAGGGGTTTTCAGAGGCCAGGATTGCGTCTGTGTGTCTCCAAGCCAAGCAGGACAAAATTCAGAAAGTGCCTTTTAGGGGTTTGTGGTTTGTGGCTTCCTTGCCAGCCTCCCCTCCCTGCTGCCTGGAAAGGAGGAAGATTGCCCCAGGGCCCTTTGGCAAGAACTGGAAATGTTGCAACAGGGGCTGCTGTTAATCTTTGACCTGTTGGAGTTGCAAACATGCATGGGGAGTTCCTTCTTTAAAAAATTAGTGTTTACCCATCGCTGTCCCTGCTACGGTTTCAGAGGTTTACGGAGCGTGGAAGCTGCGCGAGCAGTTTGGCGTTAAGATTTCTGGATTGGGCTAATAAAACTTTCGTTTTGTTTAAGAAAGGGAGAAGTTATTTTTAAGCCCCCGGGTGATTCAGCTGGATGGGGCAGCCCCCTCTCGGTCCCCCAGCTGGGTTATAGAGGGGTGGAGATACTGGGTCTTTCAATGTCATGGAGCCGCCACCCCCCCCCACGCCTTGCCCTTTGACCCCTCCCCCCCAAGGCCTTTAAAGAGCAGAAAAGGAGAGTGGACCAGCGAGGCCACCGACTGGACACTGACCTCAAGCCCCAGTGAGTTTCCCCGTGTCCTGAAGTGACCTCTGTCTGTGTGGCTGCCAAGCCTCAATGATCAACGATTCTGAGATACTCACCCATTAGTTTCCCCTTTATTTTATTTTTAAAATCTGCCCTTCTTTTAAGACAGTGTTTCTCAACCTTGGCGACTTTCAGTCCTTTGGACTTCAACTCCCAGAATTTCAACTCCCTGCCCATCCGCCCGCTCACACGCTACAATACCCAGCCCAGAGAGCTAGCAGCTGATGGGTGGGGGAGGCGGCGGCGGTGGCTCGCGCAGAGAACCGCTCGGATTTGCAGAATTAACTGTCAACCCTTAATTAACCCTAACCCAATTTTGGAAGGAAAAAGTGTGCAATGAAATAAGTGGACAGAACTGATTGGTCATGGTGGCCTAGTGGTTAGGACACTCAATGTTGTCAGCTTGAGATCCAAGTCCTGGGTGACCTGTGAGTTTCTGGTCTTGCTCCGGGTCGTCAATCCAGCAGTCTGAAAGCCTGTAAATGCAGGTAAGTAAATAGGTACTTCAGAGGGAAGGTAACAGCGTTCCATGCGCCTCACTCTATATTCATGCTGGCCACATGATCACAGAAGCGTCTTCAGAGAATGCTGGCTCCATCAGCTAGGAAACCAGATGAGTACTGACCCCCAGATCACACTTGACTGGAAAGGAGAAATTTTTACCTTTTTAATTGATTGGTGTAATTGATTACTCACTGGTACGCAAAAAAAATCCCAACAGTCCAGACCTAGTTTGATGTCAATATATAATTCATTGTTATCTATCTCATTTAAATATGAATTGCTGTTCATATTTTTAAAGGTTACAAAATAAGGTAATGGCATATCAGTATAGGATGCCTAATGCTGAACCTATGTAAAAGTGATGAACAGAAGTAGAAATGCCATGTATACGGAATGCATTTGAGGGCATAAAGTAAATGTATCAGAAAAACAGGCAACATGCAAATTAATTAAAAGTACAAGAACAGATCTAGGAATGACTTTTTAAATATACATATAATTACAAACTTAACAAAGGCAGTTTTATAGGTCATAGGCTAGTGTGAATTTACTAAAGAAAAAATATGGGGGTTGTGAAAAAAACAAAATAGGGACCACAAGACTATTAAGTATTTTTTGTACATAACAAGTGCACTGTGCCAAATATGCATCCTATTGAAAAGTTAAGTAATCAAGTCATATCTACAAGTTTGCAGAGTTTATTCAAATCATATAGTTTTTATTTAAAACATCTAGATACTCCTGTTTTGCCTTGGAAACTTCATCTTGGTCTATATCTGATTTTGTTGAAGATCCATCAACTGATCCTACAGGGGAGACTCTAACAGATCCGGCATCAAGTTCAGCTTTAGCTGAAAAACAACAGTATTTTTTACAGGTTTCATAATATC